TTTTTTTATGTTTTGTTATTATATTGGTCTAAAAATCCCCAAAGGACACAAATTGAAATTGAATTTACAAAACAAAAATAATCTAAAATGCTGATCCGATTGAGCAATACTTTGTAAGGTTATAATACATTAGTGGCCACTTTATTAGGTGCATTTTGCTAGTAGCAGGTTGGCTTTTCTTTTTGCTTTCAAAGCTACCTTTATACTTCATGTCATAGATTCAACAAGGTGCTGGAATCATTCCTCAGAGAATTTGGTATTGACGTGATAGTTTCACAGTCCGTGCCCATCCTTGATCAAAATCTCCTGTTCTACCACATCCTAAAGGTGATCTATTAGATTGAGATCTAGTGTGTGGAGCCAGTTGAGTACAGATCTCACTGTCATGTTTAGGAAACCAGTGTGATTATTTGAGCTTTGTGGCATGGTTCGTTATTCTGCTGGAAGCAGTCATCAGACAATCAACAACACCTGAGTTATTGAGTGTCATGCAGGCTGTAGGGTTTAACAGATCCTCAGTTGGTACTACGGGTCTGCAAAATAACCAACATATTTATACAATGCAGGATGGATCCATGACTTCATGTAGTTCACACCATGTAGTTTTCTGACCCAACCATCTGAATGTTGCAGCACAAATCGAGACTCATCAGAGCAGGCAATGTTTTCTAACCTTCTGAGCCTGCATGATCATAGCCTCAGGTTTTGGTTCTTCAATAACAGGAGTGACACCTGGTGCGGTCTTCTGCTCGGCAAGTGGTTGTTTGAATTACTGTTTCCTTCCAATCAGTGTCATTCAGAGAACTCCCACACACTGGATATTTTCTCTTTTTCAGATCATTCTCTGTAAACCGTAGGGATGGCTGTGCAGGAAATCCCAGTAGATCTGTAGTTCCTGCAATACTCATACTGTCTGGCAATAACAAACATGCTAGATTCAAAGTAGCTTAAATCCCCCTTCCTTTCCCTTTCTGATGTTCGGTTTGATAATCAAAAGGTTGTTTTTAGTTGTAAGTAAAACACTGTACATAATAAAGTGGCCGTTTAATGTGTAAATATTGCCAATTGTTTAGGGTTTATATAAATGCTAATATTGATCTGATATCCATGCAGTGAGTAATTGCAAAACTGAATGCAGTTGTCAAATGACTGAGGAGCAAAAGCACCTGATGATTCATGAACTCTGATGGGGAAAGGAGTGTGTGATAGGGCAGCTGTATTCCTTGACCTTTTGACTGTCTTATCGCAAACTTTACTCTCCTTTTTACAGTAATAACGACACGAGGAGGAAGTAAAATTCTGTACACCTGTTGAGCTGTAACGGCCGAACAGAAGCATCTTTCCTGGTAAAAACATACATGTCAGTGAGGTCACAAGAGATGTTTTTAAACTGTCCCTAATTCACTGCTCAAAAATATAAGAACAGAAAATCTTTGTTTAACTTTTCCAATGTAGTATTTCAGATACAAAATATAATTTTCTTTGGGCAAATGCCTGATTTTGTCTCAGATGTTAAAGTGCGCTCGTTATAAATGAAATTATCTGTTGCAGAAGACACTTTTGTATGCAGAGTCTACAGTCTTATAGTGATTGCTACATGCTGGAAAATTTACTGTGTAAGATTGAAATAACCGTTTGTTTCACATCCTAATGACGAAGCATGATTTGTATGATCAACGGTCTTTGATCAGTCATTGCACAAATATACTGTTGATAAGGTTGTGGAAAACTGCAATCAGCTGAGACTGAAGAAGTCACTTGGATGAGTGACGAAACGTTTCTCCCACTGAAAACGCTACGTCCAGATGAACAGAATCAACCTTTGGGGATCGCTTTTTGGAGGTTTACATGTTTCCTCTCTGGTGCTCGTGTATGTACAATCTACTTTCCAATTTAGGGTTATGAGGGGGCTGGAGCTAACTCCAGCTGTCACAGAGACAGACACACCCATGACCCATTTGGAATTACCATTTAGCCTCAAACATGCATGTCTCTGGATGTCAGGAGACACCCGGAGTACCAATCACACAGAGAACATAGAAATTCAGCACGGAAAAGCCAAAGCCTGGTGGATTCAAATCCAGGAACTTGTTCTGTGAGGCATCAGTACCAACCACTGCACCACCAGCCACTTGCCTGAGTCAGCAGTCTTGGGCAGCCATGTCAGTTTCATTTATCTTAAAATTTGGGGAAGTTGTTTCACAGACTCATTGACAGAATGTACCCAGTTTGGGAATATCCTGTATTTTTGCATGACTGACTCTATTCGTGGTCCTCACTGTGTTCTGAGAGGAAACTTGGAGATCACAACCAACATCAAGCTTATGATGTCGGTTTCTAAGGTCGGACAGTGGTGCCCTCTAGTGGTTAAAAAGTAGATGGCGCTTCGGTGAGTGGGAAAACACTCCCTGGCCACTCTGTCAGTCACACCCTGTTAAGCTGCACGCAAATTCAAATATCCGGTCGGTCAATCGCATGCCACCAATGCATTAAGATGATAGCCAGTCATGATAGACAGCACACACATTTAAATCTTCATTAAAAACACATTTATTTTCACATTTATTCTTCTTGGAATTTGGCACCAGTTGACATCCTGATCCTTTGTTGTCCGATTTTTTTTGTATTTACGTTTTTATTTCAGTTTTTTAATCTTATTTTATTTTAATGTTAAGTATTATATTAATGTTTTAGTGTGATTTTTCTTGTAGCCATATACTTTTAATGCACTTTTACACAGCTGACTTTGATCAACTTTATTGTTTTAAATGTGCTATATAAATAAACATGACCTTGACAGAATAGGAAGGCAACAGCAATTTAAATAACTACTTGTTATATTCAAAGTATGCAGAAGAGATGTACGCCTCGAAGCATCAGAAGACCACACCGTGATTTCTGCTACAACATTCAGATAGGAGTGTCAGAATTTGGTGTAAAGTATATGAAAGCATGGGTCAGGCTGCTGGAGGTGTAATGGTGTGGGGGATCATTTATTAGTTCATTGTGTTTCCCTTAGTTAAACCCGCAGCCTACCTGAATGTTATTGTTGTGGGAGATTGTCATCACAGTTGAGCAGCCGACAAATCAGCAGTATCTGTGATGTCATCATATTAATATGGGGGGGGGAGTCTGAGGAATGGTTGCAGCATCGTTGAATCCCACGAAGAACCAAAAACGAGAGCCAACCATGTACTAGCAAGATGCACCTGATAAAGTGTTAATTGAATGTATCATAACGTTCAGTGATAGACCAAGTTCCAGCTTCTAAATGTTCGACTGTTTTTCAGCAGTTTGAGTGTCTTTTTCTGCCTTAAAGGTAATAATTGATCACTTAAGAATTTCTAATTTCCCACATAACACTCTTCCCTCTCGCATTTTCAAGGAAGCTTTGAAGACTATTGGGCCCTGTATTTTACTTTTATTGAGTGCATCACTGTCATTAGGTTGTGTACTGACTGCCTTCAAACATGCTGTTGTGCAAACCTTCACCCTAATGCTCTCTCTAATTACAGGCTGATCTCCAAATTCCCTTTTACGTCCAAAGTCCTGAAAAACATTAGTTCTTAAGCAACTTCAGGCCTTTTTAGATGTTAATGATATTGGTGAAAACTTCTAGTCTGGTTTCAAACCTCGCCACAGTACTGAGACAGCTTTATTAAGAGTTTTTAATGATCTTCTTTTAACCGCTTATTCGGGTTGCTCTGTGGTTTTAGTTTTACTAGATTGGACTTTGCTTTTCATGCGGTTGGTCATAACATTCTTTTATCAAGGCTAGAGGTCGTTCTCCGTTGCTATGGGGCAATTCTCTTTCTCTTCTTTCCGTATTTACTGTGGTGTCCCACAGGGGTCTGTTTTGGGTCCAACTCTTCTCCTTGTACATGCTGCACTTGGGATCCATTTTCAAAAAATACAATGTCTCCTTCCACTGCCATGCCGATGACATCTAAATTCTAAATACTTCCGAGTCGATTCAGTCTTTTAAATCACATCTTAAAACTCACTTTTTTACTTTGGCTTTTGAATCAAACTAGTTTGAGTATCATCCAGCTTGTTTTTTTAATGTTTGTCACCTGTGTTGTTTGTTGGTTTGTTTTGTTTGTTAATGCTTCATTTTTTAATTTTTCCATTCTCTTTTTCATTCTCTTTGAACCTTCACAAATGCCCTTTTTTATGTAAGATTTATCAAGAAGTATCATTCTCATATATTTACATGTGGAAAATGACCAGTAGCTGGATTATTTGCGCCAGCTTCCTCCTGACTGCCTTTCCCGCTGCCCGAAAGTACCAAAAATCCAACTTAAACACTACGCTGTGCTTCACTGTATCCCAGTGGACGTGCCACACATACACAACATCAAACACTGCTGCAGCTCAAAGAAATAACAGGGTAATATTAGACTCAAGTAATAAAAGATTCAAGTTTAGTAACTCCTTTACTCACCACATAACATCTAAAATTTTGACAATACAAAACAGTTTCAGATTATTGTTAAAGTGAGTTTCTTTTCCACATTTAAAATAGTCCTGGATCAACCAGAATAAGCAATGTTTTCTTTGTGGATACTTCTTAGCAACATGTAATCATACTAAAAACACAAATATTCTTTATAAAAAAAAACTGTTATTACTATAACAACACTACTTTATAATGTGATCAGCTCATAAATACATTTAAGCCTAAAATAATAAGAAACAGTAAAAAATAAAGGTGTCTACAGCAGGACTGAATAAATAGAAACTGAGGCTGTGTCTGGAGTTCTCATTACTGCTCACACAGCGAAGCTGCTAATTAAATCTACATTAGAGGACGTTGTTTCTCTCTGTGGTTTCTTCACATCTTTAATGCTCATTTAGCAATTTTGGCACTATATAACTCTGTGTGTGTGGTTGTGTGTGTCCATCAGTGCAGTATGGTGATACTGCGGTCAGTCACGGCAAAGGCCGGCAGCAGCGGGGCACTGAAGTTCTGTGAGACTGAGTACAGCACAGCGCAGGAGTGTGGCTCGTAAAATAGCAGCGTCTGACTTTGCCAGTCCAGCAGCAGGCCCACCCTCTCTGGCCTCCTCGCCACTTGTAGCGGCACCTTCTTCCCTGCGTGGCAGAAGGAGTAGTCTCCGTCGTAGTGAGACAGCACCCAGGACCGACTGTTGTGGCCCAGTCGAGCCTCGTTCCCAGAACCTTTGCGCTCCAGGGAGGCGTAGCAGACCCCGACTTTAAAGGCGCCGCTCTGGCCCACGTCTACCACCCAGCTGTGGGTGCCAGAGGACATAGACACCGAGCCTAAGGCGTTGGGCCAAGAGTCAAATCGTGCTGGGTCGTAGGGTGGAGACTGGCGCGTTTTTTTGTGGAGGAAAGTTAAAGTGCAGAAGTCCTCAGACAGAGAGAGAAGAGGGCTGACTGTGCGCTCATCGAACTTTAAACATGATGATCCATAAGCTGTGAGAAGAAAGGAAAAGGGTGGATTACAATCATGTTTTTGTTTTTAGATTGTTTCGTTATTAAACATGAGAATATGCAGTAAATACAGAGAATATAGAGAATATAAACAGGACATCAAGCAAATTCCGAGCGCTGCCAAACAGATGGCACATGGCCTCTTCTCCAAACACAGAATACCTGGAATTACTTTACAGTACTGCCCCGTTCATCTTCCAGATCTTCCTGATATACCAGTAACTCCTGAATTTCTAAGTTGCACAAGTATAATGTGTTTCAGTTTACCCTACATTCAGATGTCCAGGCACAACAAACACACACGCATTAGGAAATCAGATCATCTTTGGAGATAAATGTGTGATTACATGCTTAAATTTGTGTCGCTAAAAATAAATGTAAGTACTGTATGTGCTTTATGTTCAATTTGCTACAGTTAACAGGGATATTTTGTAGGGCGTCAGTCTGTGTCTGTATTGACAATGATAGTGACGTTGTTGTCATCATCTTATTATGAAATCTCTGTCTTTCTGCATACTCACCCTACATAGCAGGAGTAGCACACATGTATATCTTAGGTGTCTGAAGGTTGTTATCTATATCACGCATTATGATGTCATCATGTTGTTTAGCAACCACCTACCAATGACCTAAAATGATCCACTTGTAGAATTTGTGCATCAGTAACACCTTAGAAAAGCACAGTTTTGTTTTCACCGCAGTAACACCTAACTGAAGATAATCTGTTTTTTTAGGAGATGGACCACACCCCAAAAACTCCTTACGCACATACATTTCTAAACTTGCCTAGCAACCACCTTACAATGGACTACAATAACAACATAAAATTATATTTTTAATGTTAGTATAATTGTTGTAAATGTAATTATATAATTAAAATTTTCTAATTCACTCCTTTACAAAAAAAAAACAGGGAAAAAATGAAGCACATTTATTTTTTAGATTAATATGCCAAATTATTTAGTTGGATTCCTGAATAGAAAAATTAGTTTTAGTAGCTGAATGTTGTTCCTCATGAACTCCTGACCTCTCAGACACAAGTGCCAGATCAAATTTGGGTATAAAAACATGAACTCAGTTTGTTATTTCTCTAATAAATAACACAACTAAACTAAAATTAAAATGGTAATTATCTATATGCCTCATTTCAAGGCATAATTTTACTAACCGTCACATTTTAAAGAGTATTCTAGAATAATCATTGAGTTTCAGTTACGTTTGACTCTGCCATTTCACTTCGGCGGTACAATAACGACTTTCCTTTTATGTGAGAAACAAAAAAACATAATTGGTTTTAACCATATTTTGGATATTTAGTTTATGGAATATAATGTACTGTTGTTAAAGAATGGGGTTGCATGCAGGACAGAAACATCTGCATTATGCTGCTAACACAATCTCGACTTTGCAAGCACCTACACAGACGCTAAGCTAGCCAAGAACCCAGAGTGATGTTAAATCTGAGTGAACCCTGACCCCAGCCCAGCAGCCAGACCCTGAACTTTAACAGGTAACAACATGATGAGCAGTCAGGCTGTATCCTCTGTTTCTACCTGTTCATGTGTCTAAAGTAGAATCTGTGTGTCTGCAGCCTCAGGTTTATATAGTTAAATGCTGATTATGAGACAATGCATTTAAGGTGATTTTATGGACAAATGTGAAATGAAGTAGTAGTAAAACAAATTACTTCCTGCTAGGTGTAATTAAGTAACATACTGCAATACTTTTAAGAGACGTATTCTGTGTAATAATTCCTTTTTTTGATTGATGATCCCAACACTTATCACACGAAGCAGGGGAAATACCTCCATCGTGAATAACCATTGACCCTCAGCATGAATGTAATATCTTTGATACGCTGCTTAGCGATGGTGGTGACACTCAAAGCCGAGCCAATGAGAATCAGTAATGGAACAGGAGCCGTTTTCTTACATCTGTATAAACTGTAATCGGATATTATACTTTTTTCTGAGCATACTCTACAAAATCCACTCTGTTCATAGATTTTTAAGGTTGGTAAATACACCTTGTAGTGCTGCAGTGAAAACTTTTATGCTTTTGAATTTTGAATGTGCTGCATTTACACAATATGATTAATAAGTATAATAGAAATCTACTGACTGTTTGGCCCGAGCAGCACTGCAGTAGCCCACAGACCCCTCAGCAGCTTGCTTTCAGTGCAGCACGGGTTCAGGCTGAGCTGGTCTGTGTCACAGGGCTCCCCGACCCCCTCTGCCTCCTCCACCCTGAGACAAGCAGAGAAAAGAGGTTTAATGATACAGCTCCTGAGCAAGAAAATAGTATTCACAAAATATTGCTTTATAAAAAAGAAACATTACCTTTCAGCTATCTCCTGGACACTGGTCTGAAAAATGAGACATTAAGCAGGTGATTACTCTCAGTGATTATGACTGTTATCAGGATACAGTTATTACAGCCGCCCCTGTTAACCCCTTCCTGCCAAAGCTTCCCGAGTCTCTCACCACCAGCTGTGCGTCGGGAGTGTGCGTCAGCGTGTGCACCAGACGGGAGCGTGTTTGCGACAGATTCGTCAACGCTTGGCCCCAGTGGGCTCTCTGGGTCAGGAGACACTGCTCCACACGCTCCTCCTCTCTCTGCACCTCCTCCAAGAGACGCTGCTCCTCCTCCTCCAGGGTTTCACGTGCCGCGCTCACCTGAGCCAGCACCTGCTCCCTCGCCCTGCTCGCCGCTGCCTGCATAATAAGACAGCAGGGAAGAAGAAATGCATGAGTGTGAAGTGAATACTTGTGGTTTGGAATCCAACTGCATAAATGATAAATTTATTGATTTATCAATGATTTTAAAATGATTTCCTTTAAAATCTGGCATGAGAAAACTGAAAATGAAACATTTACTGTCTCCAAAATTAAAATCTTTATCCTTGTGCATCTCCTGTGAATTAGTCTCACATTGTTTTTACTCTCTTTTAATCATTTAGCGTCACTTGTACAGTTCTTTGAATATCACAAATGTGTGAAAAATGCCATAAAAACCACATCCACAGTCCCAGCACTAATTTTCACATCTTCATACTTGAACTGACTAACATGACAATATACATACGGCACACCGCGAGCCAATCAAACTGTGTCAGCTATCTGAGATGTTGGCCTGCAGTAGCATGGGTATTATTTTTAGTTAAATAGAATAAAAATACAAAACAGACTTTAAAAAAAATGGAATCTAAGTGAAACGCTTTGTGAAATCTCATTAGTATCATAGTAACATCCCTCCTTTAGTATCCATTATTTTGGTAACAATTTTATTACAACTTGCCTGATGGGTCAGTGGTGGATGTGTTTATTGAGACTTTGAAGGTCTACAAGTCTGTTTTTTAAAGATTTTTAATGTAACACCTGCACTGCTGTAATAAATTCAAGTGCACGTAGCATATTCAGATAAAATTCGTCATACTGTGATGTCGTCTCTCTTTTTAATGCCCACTTCCTGTCTGGTATTCTCTCCTATAACTCAAACACTGGTCTACACCTGCACCTAATGGAAGCTGCTGCTGCTCATAAGCAGTGACACAAGCACTTTACGGTGGGCACGGA